CCCCCCCGCTGACCTATCTCGTGGCGCAGCATCCCCTCCAGCCAGTGCTGCCGGGCTCCGGCCAGGTTGATGGCCAGCGTCGGCCGGCTGTCCTCCACCATCATCACTGCCTGCGACAGGAGGTCATCAGTAAGCTGCACCACCACCTGCAGAGAAATGAGGCAAATAGTGTCAGCACGCTCATGGGAGGAGATGCTCAGCGGGGTCTTGGCTCTAAGCAGAGACCGAGATGGTGGCAGATGGTCAGAAAAAGCCACCAACGCCGCGGGCGGCACCATCCAGCACTGCTGCACCATCACCAGCTCGTGCTGCATCTCCCCAAAGAAACCACAGAGAGCAGGAGCAGGCAGGGAGGGCACTGCCAGTGCTGAGAGGATGCTGAGAGGAAATGGATGATCCCACGGTAGGGTTGAAATAACTGCTTTAATCTCTTTACAGCCAGCAAACCTGAGCAGGCACTGTGGGGGGAGCAAGCAGCTCCTGGGCAGCCTCCTCCAGCATCCCTCTGGCTCCAGCATCCCCCTTCCTCCCTGGCTCATTCCCATGGGGTCCTCACAATTTTATGGCCACATGCAATGGGCATCCTCCAGAGACCTGCCTGGTTCCACTCCTGCATCCCCACTAGCAATGGGACAACGCAGTAAATTTGGTCACCAAAACAAGCCTGCTCTAAACAACCAGCAGCGCCTGCTTTGGTATGGGCCCAACCTCTAGTCCCGCCCAGACAAATATCCCATGCGGGAACCAAGGCTCTCGCTCCATTTTCACAGACTCTCCTGCTGATTCTCCCTTTCAAGGCTCCAAGACATGAGCAGTGAGGACGGATCCATGCCAGCCTACCCTTGCAGAAGGAACTGTGTGTGCCAGCCACGATTCGCAGCAGGGACGGGCAATGCATGTGCAGGACTAGGGAACATCTTTATAGAGAAAAAAAACCCAGCTATTTTAGGAAACCTGGCCACCACAAGTGCTGGAGCCAAGACAGCTGCTCTATGTTAACAGGATTTAACATGCCAGCCAAGCAGCATTTTCTGACCATCCGACTTCAGACCTGCAGTGACTCAAGGCTGCAGCATTGCCGGAAGAGACAGCCCTGGAAGCTCTCGTATCTGAGGTTTGGCCGCGGCAATGCTTGGGACCTTCAGGCACATACCAATTTCATCTCAAAACCCTTCTGCCACATCCACGTTAACTCTAAAAAACATCTATTATTTCACAGCTGACACTTTCCAGGATGAAAATGTGCACACACATTACTACATGACAATTCTTCTCTTATTTAAAAAAAAGTAGAGGAGACTGAACGGGTTTGCTTTAACCCAGATTTATTATTGTGCAAAGCTGCTCACAAAAGCCAAAAGTGCAATGTAACAGAGCAGAGTCTACCACTGGGCCAACAAACAGCATAAAAATACTTACAGTGCAATTGCTTACCTGGATTAAAATATACCAGTGTGAAAGAGAATCCCTCCAACTCCAAGAAAAGACTTGCCAGTTCATTTCTGACGTGTATAGCTCCTTGAGCTTTATTTCTGCTCCAGTAAGCAAGTCAAAATAAATATGGGTTGCAGTTTTGCTGCCCTCTCCCACATCCAGCCACGGACCTTGGTGACCTGGGACAAACTGAGGCAGGGAACTGATCCGGACTAAAACTGGTCTTATACTCTAGGTTAGTTTCCAGCAAGATCACCATCCCCGGCCACACAAGCTCTCGTGGGGGGCTCTTGGCAGGGACAAGACTTCTGGCAGCAGCACCAGCTTCTGCTAACAGCCCTGTCCGAGGCAGGGAAGGTTACAGCTTCACAGCAAGCAGAAATAAGGAGGCACGCATGAGCCAGGTTTTGGTATGATTGTAACCAATTCCCATCTCTTAGGTCAGCTCCGTCTGATGGGAATACAGCCTGGACATCTGACATGGCAATCCCAAATGCGACTAGTGGAGGCTGAAACCCTGGGACACGGGAGGGGAAGGGGAGAGCCAGGGGACAGACTTTAAACCAAAAGAAAGAAGGGGAGGAATACATTTCATCGTCGCAGCACTTTTCCTGCTCCCTTGAAGACACTGCAGCACAGAACTGCTGCCCAGACCCTGTGACAGCCCTTGGTCCTCAGGTCTTTGCTGCCCAACCTGCAGCTCTTAGAGGGAGCGCTGGAGACGATGCACTGTGTCAGCTGGAGCTCTGCTACCAGGATACAGGATGCTTGGTTGACTGGGAGTGGTCCGCAAGGCCAGATCCACATCTTGCTGTCTTGTCACACTTCATTGTCCCTATACAGGGAAAAAATAAGCCCCAAGGAGGCTAGAATTTAGGAAACTAGATGCAGAAAAACTAACTTCTTCCCTAGGATAAACACTCCTATTCTTACACCTGCTTTCCCCCAGCCTATTAAAAAAATACCACCCCCCAGAGCTCCTCTTCTCCACTTCTCTCCATTTTCCAGTTGCTCATCCTTGGCCACGTTACGCTGGACTCCTCCAGAAGCCATCCCCAGGCGAGAGGGATTCAGCAGCTCCAGGTCCCCCGTACCAGCAGGACCTGCTGCGGAGGGCTCAGCCCAGCCGGCGTGTTTGGGGAGGCTGGTGCTTGCTTGGCATCCCACCAACAGTTCAAGTTTCCCTTGTGCAATTTCAAAAGCTATCTTTGAAAACAACACTCAAGAGCACCCGCACAAGTGAAATACTGCATAAACCCAGGATTTTAATTGTATTGAGTGTTGCATGGATAAATGCTCCATGCAGCTCATCCCTGCCGTTCTGGTGATCTCCAGCTCTCCCTTCCCATCTGCACTGGCACCTTAAATCCCACCCCTGAAGAAAACTCTTTTATTATAACCCAAATATCTGTCCATCACCTGCACATGGCTTCTTCCTCTGCTGTACCGGGAATGCCGTGTCCCAAGTCCTATGCTGCATCTTCCCTGCTGTTACCCACTTAAGCATCCTACAAGGGCTGAGCTTGCCTACAGCAGAGATACACCCTGCTTTAATAAGCATTAAGCAACATTTGCAAGAGAGTGCTCTGACTTTAAAAAAGCTAATTTTTATATTATTTTGGGGGGGCCTTTATGCTACAGGACAAGTCAATGGTCACCAGGCCAGGCATTTCCATCTTGTGGTGGTGCAGAACTTCAGTGTTAAAGCCAGAGCATCAATAGCTGCTCACACAATTCAATGTGGGCACCAAATGAGCCCAGACAAATTATGGAAAGGCAACTGCTGTCCTTCAGTCTTCACTACCATGCCGGAAGACAAGGTAGGCTGAACAGTCCAAACCCCAATTTTTTTCTTTTTCTTTTCCTATCTGGTATCACTATGCACAGGGTGAGCAAAGAGAAATGCAGCAAACAGCTGGAAAATAAGAGGTGGTGTGATGTTCAGTGCTGAAACCAGGTCTTGCACGAGCTCTTTTTAGGCAAGGCAGCAAGAGCTGAAATGAAGACCAAAGCATTCCCTGGGATACAGCATCTGGAGAAAGATCCAAGAGCACAGAAGAATCGGTTTGCAATAAGCTGGGACACTGCTGGTGGCTGAGCACAGAGGGAAGGGTGTAGTTGAAGCAACCATTCTGTGTTTTTGGAAATCAAGGAAAACTCCATGCAAAAACATCCCAGAGCCTTTAGAGGAAGAATTCAAGTCAGAGGGAGCACTGTTGATTTTGTTTTTTCCTCTCTAATGGTAAGAAAAAGTAAAGGCAACACAGAAACAGCAATGCTCAACTCAATTATATGGAGCGAAAACTACCTTTCCCTGTACAAGAGCCTGATGGCATCAAGCGAAGTGGTTAGGAAGCAGATTCAGGACGAAGAAGCATCAGCAAACGGTGCAACCCACCGCATGAGGTTTGCAACAGTTCACGATCAGGTAGGCGAATTCTCAGCAGGGGTTTTGCAGGCAGAAACAGCCCCCAACTTGGGAAGACACCGGGCTGCCATGGCCTGGGGAGAAATTCCCCATCCCTGTCCTAAGGACGGAGAGACCCCAGGACAGAGCTGGGCAGGGGAATGAGGGACGGAAAAGGACTGATCCAGGCGTTGGGAAACAGGATTAGACACCGCTCAGAGAGGATGAGAGCAGCTGCAGCCGCGGGTACAGCCGCAGGTCGCAGTCCCCCTGCGAGAGCCGACGATACAGATGCACCCGGGGGCCACCATGATGAGAAGCTGATGGGCAAAACCCCATGATGTCATTCTTTGGATGTCAGTCTGATGATGTTTTAGAGGAATTGACTTGGGTTATTTATTTTTTTTCCCCTTATTTGATAATGTGAGGATACAGCATTGCTTTGTCATATTAAACAGAGGTGCCAGGAACCACCCCGTGCAGAGCCAGCCATCTGGGAGTGATGGGAAGGGACCCTCAGCATCATCACAGACTGCAGCTATGCACGCTCCCGTTACGCTGCCCACAGCCCTTCTCTGGCCGCAGCAGCCCATCCGCCCGCTGAGCAGCACCGCTTGCCTTATTTTGGGAAACCCTCCAGCTTTGCAGGTGCTGTTAAAACAGGGGCTGCGACTTCAGCCACACTTATTCCTGGAGCAGCAATGCCAGCTGTCCAGCTTTGTGACCTCTGTTATTCTGAGCAGGATCCCCAGAGTATCCTCATGGTCCTCAAAACTTCTACTCAGCTTTTGTGGATGCAACGATGGAGAAAGAGCTCGTCCCCAGGAACCGAGGGAAGACTGCTGACAGCCCCCACGGCACGGGCTCCTGCCTCTCCCCAGCTCCCTAGTGCTGCTCAGGACCTCGCATGCCAAGAAAGCACGGGTATCGAGCAGGTCAGAGGTGGAGGGGCACCACCGATGGGATCCCAGGAGATACTAGCTAGCGCTATTTAGGCTAACAACGTTTCACAACCCCAGGGGTTGGCATGCAGAACTTACCAACGGGGCCAGGGGGTTCTTTGCTGCAAGCTGGGAACTTGCTGAAATCCACATGGAGACCTCTGAGCTCCGGCAGCGTCACCTTGGTCCTGAGCCAGAAGAAAAGCAGAAGAGCTTCAGGATCTGCAGCTCTGACCCCGACAAAGAAGCTTTTGAAGACACAAAGTTAATTATAGCGTAAATACTCACCCACGAGCATGCTGCCTGTGGTGCCGAAAAGCGGGATCCTGCCTTCGCTGATCAGCGCCGGGGACAAAGGGCAGCTGCCTGCAGCGACTGCCACCAGCCTGGCCCGCGCTGCCTGCCAGGACTGCCTGCAGGCAGCACAGGCAGCTGATGCATCAGCGGGTCAGTCTCTGGGCTAACACAACCCCCCTGCACTAGTTTCTTCTTGGGTTTTGGGGTTTTTTTAAGAAAGCCATCACAATTAGTACATATCAGGGAAGGAAATGGCATGGCAGAACAGACAGGGCACAGCAGGTGAAAGTCAGGAATTATAGATACAGGTGCGGGGAGGGACATACATGTCTGAAACCACCTAGTTCCCCGACAGGGTGTTAAATTATCAGCGACACAGAAGTTTCATCAAGTTTTGGTTCTGTATGGGGAGCAAGCTTTGCCAACATTGCTGTATCAAGAGCAGATGAAACCCTTCCCTCTTCCCCGCCCCAGAGAAATTCAGCAAAATTTGTAATGGGTAGGAATGAGCAAACCAATGCTTTAATGGTTTTAAAAGCACTTATCAAAAGTTTTGGATAAAAGGCCCACTTATCTCACATGCCGATGTGCAAACATAATTACTGAACCCTGCGTTCCCTGGAGCAAAGGGAAAATTACACAGGGCTGGAAGGAAGCCAGTTGTACACCAATATGTAAGAAAAAAAGATGGCTTTCTGCCCAGCCAGAGCTCAGTTTGGGTTAGATTAATGGAGAAAAGCAAAATAGCTGAATTTAATCAACTGATAAAAATCAAGAGATGGACCACAACTAGCAGGTCATAAGTGTAGGTCTGTAAGGCTGGCCAGCTGCTAGGTTGGGTATTAGGACTGGTTCTGGGTACTAAAAGGCATCTGAATTATAGTAAGAGATTTGCAGAAATCCCTTCTGTCCTAAGCAAAGGCTTAGGAGGATCAAGGTGCCAAATCCACATCCCAGGGACAACCCAAGGAGGCTGGAGGAGGAAGGTCCCCTGGCCAGGTGGGATCTTGAGGAACCGCTCACTCCTGCTTTTGCAGGCGTGAAATGGCCTGGGTACCCCTGAGAAAGTTGATGCTTCAGGGCAATGCTCATGAATAACCCTGTTTGGAGATGGAGGTGAAAAATCAGAGCTAAGAAAAATAGTCTGGCCAAGAGGCAGCAGCGAGGAAGCCCCCCGTGCCAGCCAGCACTGCACGGACTTCTGCCCGGCAGCCAACAGCCAGAGGCAGCCCTGCAAGCCAAAAAAAAGCAAAGTCAGCTCCAGAAATCCTTCTCAGCATTTGAACCCAGGACGGTGGAAGCATTTTGCCCACACCTTGCTAGCAGAAGGGGGAAAAAAAAAAAAAGCCCCTTAACCAAAGCTGTGGGACATCCCACGCTGGATGCTGCTCAGAGAAACCAGATTAAGAGATGCTGAACTTCCCCCCCTGCCTTCATCCCGCACGGCTACCGTCATATCTTAACCACGTATTTCACAGCTTTAAAACCCAAGCTTGGGGTTTCAAAGTGCTGTAACCTGGCACATCCCCTGGGACAGCAGGAAATCTCTCCCCCCAGCTTTGCTTTTGGACATGTGAGTGAAGGCAGCTGTTGGAGATGTCTGCCATACCACAGGGAGATGGCTTCCTGATGGTAATTGATGCCTCATGCGCACAGCAAAAGGCCACGCAGACAAGCAGCAGCTCCTCTCTCTCTCTCGGGAGATATACACTGAAAAAATCATGGGAAGTCGGTGGGGAACCAGCACCCATGTCCTAACGCCAGGGTATAGCGAACGCAGCCAAGCCGGCGCTGAAAGGACACCACAGCTCAGAGGAGAAAAGTTTCTTCTCTGTACCCAAAACACTTCCTAATCTAAGTCCTTTTTATCAGAAAATAAGTATTTTGCAGCTGTAGTTTACAAGCGATAATACAGGGACATGGATTACCTCTCCCACGCAGCCTTCCTTCTGCATGTACTTTCGGATAACGGACCAGATCTGGCACTTGCTCAACAGCCTCCCACCTGTGGCAACTTCGAAGCTCTCGTAGGTCCCGTACTTCTCCAGGACGGCACGAATGATCCTGATCGCCTGTTGCATGCAGAAACAAAACATGAGTGCAAACACCTTCCCCGCTTATAAACACATCTTAAAATACCACATGCAGTAAACCCCAGCGGAGATAATCCCTCATAAACGCCCATAAAGTGAGACGTGGTTTTGCAATCTCTAAAAAGCCAAGGAGACTGAGCCAGCTGGAAGTGGCCACCAGGACAGACGGACACTTAATGCAATCAGCACGACCCACAGTATATTCTTTCTGGTTTTTATCACCCTTGCAAGCATCTGTTGTAGGAACTGGGCAAAGCAGAAGAGAAAGAGCATCATCACAGCATGCTGCCCCTGGAGGTTAAAGCCATGATTATTTTCATCTTCTCTGCTTTCAGTTCTCCTTTCAAACTCTAGTGCTTGGGTCTAGCTTATCAGTTTGCTTTTTACGCTGAGAGTTTCTTATTGCAGTGCTGGATTGCAAGCCCAGCAGGAAAGCTGGGCATCACCAGCGTCACCCTTTGCAGCGCTGCTGCTTCCTCTTCTTCGGCTGAGGTCTCAGCGCAACCAGCCTACCGCACACCAACAGCCTTCTAATAAAAGCAGCATGTGCTATTTTATTAGCATTAACATTTACGGAGCATCTACAAAATACAAGCATTTATTAGCATGTTTCCTTCCCAAAAAGTGAGTTTGTATTTTCAAGCAATGACTTTCTCCAACCTATTAATATATACCCCAAACCAGATGATGACAACTTTGCACGAGTTCTGGAGTTTTTCCAGCAGTTTTATTGCATCTGTAAATCTGGCTGTGCTGCTGCCGAGCTTCCCAGCCCCGGGCCAAGTGCTGCTCCTGACTTGTGTGTGTTTTACCTTCTCCTGCTGAGCAAACCCCCTTTGCTCTCGTACGGGCTTCAGGCAGCAGCTGGAGCCCTGCAGAGGAGGTCCCATCCCCGCCCTCATCCCTAAGGTCTCCCAGGATCGGGAGATGGGTGCTCACCAGCAGTACCAGTACTCAAGCCATCCAATAACCTGTAGAGGGGCTTTGTGGTCTGCATCTGGTGAGCAGCCTCCCCTATCCCAGCAGACGGTCCTGATTTTCCTTCCCTGAACAGTTTTCTCTGCACTGCTGGTTTTTATTCTCGAGTCACTTATTGTGTCTTTCCAGAAGAAGTTGCGCAGGTTTTTTCTGTGTTGCTGGTTTGGGGGTTTTTTTTGGTGGTGGTGGGGGTTTTTTTGTTTGGGTTTTTTGGTTCTTTTGCTGAATGATCAGGATTGGTTTTGCAGCGCTGCAAGGTACCTCCTGCTGACAGTGGCAAAAAAAGGACCGTTTCTTCCTCCCACCTCTGCTCAACCACTTGTTCTCTCCTCCCAGAGGACCTAACATGCCAAGCCAAGAGAAACCCAGCACAGCTGGTGCCCAGGAGCAAGACGACCAAAGAGCATGCTCCTCGCTGACCTCCAGCGCATGTCCCAGCAAGCAAAATTCCTAAGATACCAAATTTGGTGTTCTGAGAGGCTGCTGAGCATCCCCAGGCAGCCCGAAGTCGTGCACCCATCATACGCAGTGGGATAACAAATCCTCCAGCCCCAGCTCCGTGCTGGTGCTGCTCATGTTCCCATTCCTGTAACAAACAGGGACGTGATCTCCAGAGTGATGAGCCTCCATGGGGCTAGAAGAATCCTTCTAGCTTATTTAAATTTTCAATTAAAAAAATAAAATAACCCCCCCAAGCATGTGCAGAGCAGCTGGTGGAGCAGCAAGCTGGAAGCAGGGAGCTGATGTTGGTTTGTCTGCTCTTGTCCAAGGATCTTGGCTTAGCAAAATGTTTCATTTATTTAAGCTCCATGATTAATGCAGGTTTTTAAAATAAAAGCAGTTTGTAGCTAATAGTTGGCTGGCAAGGGAAAAGGTTTCCCAAAAGAAAAGAGACTGGAAGGAGGTTACTGCAGGGTACGAACAAAGGAACCATGAATACCGTCCCATCACACTGTCAGTGGAAAACTTGGAGAAACACCGGTAGAAACACTTAACACTTAATATCTCTCGCAAAGGGTTTTAGGATCCAGGATGACGCCATTCACACTGGTTACGAACACTTAGTTGTATTCATTCAAAGTAATGCGCAGAAAAAAATAATCACAATATAGTAAAAGATAAATAATTGAAAGTCAACTGTACCAAAACAGAAAGCAAGGGAGGAAATAGCGCCGAAGAACTCATTTTACCGCATTACGTGGAGAACGAAATGCACTTAAATGCAGGAAGAAAACACTGAAAAGCCAGCCAGGTCTTTACAGGAGTCAGACTGTCTCCCCTGCAACAGCATCGCTGGCACCAGTTTATCTGGGGCAGAGGTACGGCAGGCACTGGAAATGACTAACTGCTTAGAAAGCTGTTTACAGAAAGAGCCTGAATCGTCACATAATAATTCAGGCAGAGATATGGGAAGTAATGCAAGAATAAGTAAACATTCAAAAAGCAATAAATAAATCGGTGAAGAAGTTGTTATTGAAACACCAGATGTAAGCTCCCAGCTAGGAGGTGGAAAGAGATGCCTCTGGCGTGCAAGTCTGGAGTCAAGAGAAGAGTTGTTTTTTATCTGCTCCCTCGGAAGCAGCTGAAAGGGGCCCGTGGGGCAGAAAGGATGCTCTTGCCAGAGGCGGGATGCCCAGCCCGAAGAGCAAGCTGGTTTTGGGGCATCGCCAGGCTCCCGGCTCCAAACCCAGAGCAAAGGGACGGAGCCGCTCCATTGCCTGCCTCGCTCTGCCTGCATCCAGGAGAGGCTCGTTTGCAGGCAGAGCATCAAGCAAGCACGCTCCTGCCCGTTTGCTCCCTGCTACCCACCCACCGTTATTACCCGTGGCAGAGAGCAAGCCGGGAATCTTTCAGTAGCCTACGAGCAATGGGGAAACAGTTAAGCAAAATAATGCAGACTCCTTAAGGGGAGCCTGCACCAACAATTATCATTCCTAACCGCGTTTGCTGATGCGTTAAGGGTGCCGCCACGCCAGACGGCCTTTAGGCCTTGCAGAAAACAAGCCGGACTTAACCCACCAGGTCATTCCGGCTAAGGACCACTTCCCATGCAGTCACCCACGCGCTCCGGCTCCTTGTCCGTTATTTCTACAATAACAAGCGTAAAAAAAAAATAACAGCGAGGTGTCCCTGAGGGAGCATCGAGCTCCTAACCACCACCAGGAACCAGTTTGATGCTGGTAGCATCACCCAGCCACTGGTATGACCATTGCCCACATTGACTGCGGAGCGCGGGCTACTCCTGCGGGTAGGCTGGGTAACCAAAAAACTTTTTAAGAACGGGGCGAGCGTGCTGAAGGCAGGATACAAAAAGCAGGGGGCCAGATCAGGCAGCAGAAGCGGGGAAGGAAAGCGGGCCGCGAGGTTCCACGTGGACCACGGACCAGCCCCCGGCCGGCCCCACCGCCAAGCGCTCCCACCCCGGTACGTCCCGTTGGCATCGCGGGGGTGACACCGCCCTAGGCGAGGACGCCCACACCTTCGCGCCTGCCGCGTTACCGCCCTGCCGGGGCGGGAGGAAGGCGGCGAGGGCGCGATCCGGGGTCCCTCCTCCTCCTCCTCCTCCTCCTCCCAGGCCGAGCATCCCTCCCCAGCCCCGCCGTGACGCTCCCCCCGCCCCCCGCTCGCGGCAGCTCAGCGGGCAGCAGTACCGGCAGGGGGACGAAGGCACCGGGGGCTCTGGCAGCTGCCCGCAGCGACGCCCGCCCCGCGCAGGCAGCGCGTGACCCGCCGGCCCCGCCTCACCTGGGCGACGAAGCGATCGGAGGCGGCTCCGTATTTATCCAGCACGGCGGCGGGGACCGGCTCGGCGTACTCGAACTGCGGGTCGTAGGCGAAGCTGGCGCGGAAGAACCGCTCCCGTTCCGCCTCCACGTTGCGGGGCCGCAGCGCCACGAGCAGGCAGGGGCTCCGCCGCCCGCCGCCTTCCTCCCCCCGCCCCCGCGCGATGTGGGGCAGGGAAGCGGCGGCGCGCAT